AACACATAATCATTGGTGCAAGGAGGCACCAAATATATATGCGCCACGCTTCGCCATTCGACTTGCGTGAGGGTTAGGATACGTCCTGGATGCCCAAACCAAAGCAAGTGGTTTTCTTGGGGGGTACTTCCCGAATCGTTAATTTAGAAATTTAATCCACAAAACAGTGATGCAGCGTTAGGAGATACAATCCCATGGTAACAGGTGATCAACAATAGGTTCATACCCCATTTGTTACCTCAAGATTCTGGGGCCTTTGTACACCATTGGTTTGGAATCAGGGTTTTCAAACTCCTCTAAGTGAACCCTTCGTGCCCACCAGCCTGGTTAAAGCGCCGTCTTCTCAGTTTCCTAAACAAAACCCCCGTCGTGAGAACTAATTAATTTGTTATTTAATCATTTCTAAGATTTGATTAAATATCTCACTTTAAGTATGTTATTAGAACCATACATAGTGTTACATTGTTCAAATGAGTTATAATTTCTCATTGTTAATTCATTATTTAATTAACCTGATAAATTCAGAAAATTCAACTTCAATATAGCATCAATAGTAATTCTTGCGATTTATAGAGAATCCAACAAATGATCAAGATTTTGATGGTATATTCAGATTGTTTTACAAAAATATGTTACTAGTATCTAATATATCATGTCATCCAATCTTTGGTTATCACAAAAAATCTATTCGTATAGACTAGAACAAGTTTAGTTGAATTTAACAGTGTTCAGCTTTTAAAGAAAAGTATAATCAAATATTGCATCCTGGTGTATGCTACTTATACTGACAGATATAAGTAGTATGTAGCTGTAATCGTAGATGGAAGCTTGAATTGAAGAGAACATAAAGGAAATCCAGAAGGAATGAAAATAAAAACAGACTTAGAGGAATAATTGAGCATGCGAAGGACAAATGATAGAAGATGTGCAAATGGTTTATTTCATGTATAATTTTCATATTTTACCAAGCCACTGTGTAATTTTGCACTAAACATTAAATTGGTTGTCCTCACCAAGTCTTTGTTTATTACAATATTACTGTATATTGTGATTTATATTTAATTTGTCTTTCCAAAATTTCACTTTTTGTTTATTTGAAGTATTGAAAATAATAATAATTATTATTTACATACTTTTTTTCATGTAAATGTATTGTGTTTAGGTTCTACGATTACTTTTCAATCTTTCTGACGACATCTATTCATCGTTTCTATCGGATTGGGATAATACTTCTGAAAATAATAGTGAAACACGTAAAAATTACTTCACATCTTTAACTACAGACATGAGTTCATCAGAAATAACACCTAATTCACATAATAATAATAATAGTCGACTTTGTGACATGGGAGGATCTACTCGTAAAGGATTTTTACCCAATCTTTTATCATCATTTCGAGATATGTCTAGTTAAAATATAATTAATAATAATACACCCCTCTGTTGATTTATTTACTATTGTACTTCTTTGTTACTTCCACACTACGAAAGAACTATACATTATCCATTTCTAAACATTATTACATGTATAAAATAAAAAGAATTTATACATATATTTAGGTTTCTTCATTTAATTATTTCTTTTAACCATTGTAACTCATCACTAGTTCATTGTTTCTTCTTGAATACTCAACGTGTCAACTGTTGATATTTTGAATATGAATAATCATTGGCTACATTTTTTATAGGTTCAATTGAATATTTTAGAATTTCATCTGATATTCTCATTTAGTGGCCCAAGATTTGATTCCAGTTGGATTGTATGTTTGTTATTGATAATATATATATTCTGATTATCTCGTATATAGTTATCGACTTAGATCGTGTTAGTGGGTATATCTGAATTAAAATAAGTCAAATGCGAGAATGGATTTCGAATACATATTTTGTACATTCATCGAAATGGACAGACAATCACAAGTGCGAAGAGAAGGGAGCGAAACGAAGTGATGCACAGTGGAGAAAGCGTATGAGCCAAGACCATTTAATCAAGCGTTAATAGTCACACGAAAATAAGTTACATACATGTGATGAGTGAGATAAGAAGTGCACACACACACGCTTATATAAAAACAGTCAAGGTCGATAAGTGAATAATTAACAAGGTCGAAACGTGACTCAAGTGGAATGGACAAATTGGCCTGTCCAGAAGGTAGAATAAGTTATTTGGGCTTAACATAGGAACCGACACTACATTCACATCTTTTAACAGTCATTAAGTTAAAAGTAGGCAGACAAAGATGGTGCACAGAGTTCTAGATTCATCCATATAACGGTAATCGATCTAAGGCGTGTTGCGTTAACTCGCAAACTACTAATCCCCATGGTATATACAATCTAAGCATAAAAGCTTACATATGTGTAGTTAAATTTTTTTAATAAATCCAATAATGAAAGAACCATGTAATTTGCATGGGTGTTCAGTTTCCTTTCGCATCTGAATTTTATACTTAAAGGTATTGATTATAGGGAAATCCAACGAAGTATTTTACCATAAATACAGTATACTACTGTGCATCAAAATAAGAACTCAATTATTCATGACAGTGGATTTACATTAACAGTCCCCGTATGTGTATTTTTCTAAAAGCCTGTTTTGTGATGTATTGCAACATGAACTTCGTGTTAAGCCCTATATCTTAACGATATGGCCCCCTTGCTATCTCAACCATATCATCTAATGAGTATGTCCAGTGAAGCGAAGGAGAATCTTACTGATATAGTGCGACTATCGCGTGGTTTAGATCCTGAGTGTATTAGGGAATACTGAGGATGCTTTGACTCAATGTAGAGCTGGCTTATACAAAAATGAGAAAATTACAGGAAATGCATACATACCACAGTCCAACCAATAACACTTGTCGTCGAAGACAAATATGGTCCAACCAACTGGAGTCCATTATGTTTCATCAAATAAACAGTCTTAATGGAATATAGAAATAGACCCACAATCCCCTAAATATAATCAATCGTGGTAAGTATTTCTCACTATATTTGATCACAAGTTATCAAGTATGGATTGGAGAAGCATGGATGCGATTCTATCTTACGCATTTTTAATATGACTGAATAATAAATGTAGGAAGTCATTGAAATCTGTCGTGGAGCAGTTGCGACAGTTTTTCATGCTAATAGAACAAATTAATAGTGTCCCAAGGCCTTTCGCTATACGCTGCCACTGATCTTTTGCATTATTTATTACTACCGGGCTACAATTCTATTTCCTGTTGATTTCTCATGTTGCAACAACTTAAAACAATGTACAATTCAAGCGAATGAGAACTCAGGTGGGGAAAACCAATTTACTGTTTAATACAAGATTACACAATGGCTCAGTAAAATATGGGGATTACACATTAAATGCATATCACCCACCAATTGTCTTTTACATATTCCATTATTACTCTAATTTCGTTGTTATTTCGATGCTGTCAGAATGCCTTCCTTCTCTACCACAGATGCCTTAGAAATATTGCTGGCATCTGCTGGGATCACCGGGTAAGTAATAGTGAGGTTAGACGCAGGGTATTAGGGAATGATGGTAAATCAGTTGATGAGGTTATGAATCTTCATCGACTGAGATGGTTGGGCCACGTGTTACGTATGCCTGAACACCGATTACCACGACGTGCAATGCTAGCCGGTGTAGGGGATGGTTGGAAGAAAGTTAGGGGCGGCCAAACCAAAACGTGGCATCAGTGCCTGAAGTCACTAACTTGTAGTCTGAGCCATGTTGGTAGATGCAGACTACTTGGCTGGGGTCCGCGTGACTTTCGTAACCAATGGTTGGAGACTCTTGGTGACATGGCTCAGAATCGATCACAATGGCGTCGGTGTATACACTCCCTGTCTTCCCTTAAACTAAGAGATTAAAATCACTTCATATCTTTCTTTCTACGAACTAATTCTTTCTTCCTATACTATATCCTTATTGCAATCCTCCTATATATTACCACCTCTGAATTAACTACTTTTATGAATCCGGTGTTCATCTTGCTGTGCTAATGAGGTATGGCAACCTGGACCGATGCACATATGTGCCTGGTCCTACGTTGTAGCTGACTGACTGACTAGCCTTCCTTCTCTCCACATTGCAGACTTCTGCTGACAGGCATTACACATCCGGTTGTGACTTATTTTATTTATTCTTTATTTTAGCACACATATTGGTACAAGGAGGCACCAAATACATATGCGCCACACAAATCTCATTTGATATGTGTGAGGGCTGTGATACTGCCTGGGTGCCCAAACTGAAGCAGGCGGTTTTCTTGGGGGTTCACACTCGGAGCCTTCGACCTAAAGGTCTGATCCACAGGGCAGTTTAGCATCGTAAGGAGATGCAATCCCATGGTAGCCGGTGATCAACGATTGGTCCATATGCCATTTGTTCCTTCAGGATACTGGAGCCCATATGCACCATTGGTTTGGAATCAGGGTTTCCCAACTCCCCTAGGTGGACTCACTGTGTCCACCGGCCCGGTTAGAGCGCCGGACATTCGCTTTTCGTCCTCTCATTTTCGTAAACAAGACCCCCGCCACGAGAAGGCAGTGAGTAGAACTTCCCTGGAAGAGGCTATATGCGCGTGGCCATGTCAGAGCATTTCGAGAGGGAGAGTGGACTCTCCCCACAGCCGTACCAGGGTATTCGGGGGCTTCAATTGCGACTACATACTACTCATATCTATTAATGCAAGTAGCATACAACACAGTCCTTACAAGTTGACAATTCAAAATATTGCCATTGTGCTTTTTTTCAAGTTTGGTTAAATGAAGCCTAATGCTTGACACATAACCACTTTTTCTCCTTCATTTCTGTAAATGACTCAGCTGTCATCACTGATATTTTGTAGTGGCCAGTAGCAGAATCCAGAACGAGCACTTTGTTGTGGTTGACCAGATGCACTATCATCCTTGCATAGAATAAAGGCTTCCCACACCCTTATGCAATTTACTTATTATTGTCAGTCTTTTGATGTAATTCAACTGTGTAAAAGTGCTTTTTGTACATATCAATGAACTCTGTATTTTTACATACATGAATACAATTTTTAAAAAAAGAATATGAACGATTTATACAAAACCCGATAAAAATAGATAAAAGAAAAGCACACGAAATTATCAACATTTACGAGTAAACAAATTGCTATCAAGTTTTGTTGGTACAATAATTGGATGAAGTAGTTCAACAAAATCTGCAATTTCTTCTTGTAAATGATCATCAGCAGGACTGCCAACTACACTGATCTCTACCATCCAACTACGAGAACATAAACGTCGCCAATCTTTGGGTGCTAATCCCTAAAGTTAATTGAAGTATATATATATATATATATATATATTAGAGCTTCTTATCGTTAATATTTATCATGGTATAAAAGGTAATGAGAATATCCAGTTATAATAATGTTTCTAATAAGAACTATTGAACAGATATAAGTCCTAACAGCATGGAAGTATAATGGATAGTAATCGTTGGGAGATCCAGAAAATTCCTAGAGAAAACCCCAAAAGGGCCTGGAAAACCATGTGAAACATTTTATTCAATCAGCATTGAATAGAGGTTTCTCAAAAACACATAGAAAGTGAAGGGTCACGTGTCACATTTCTATCTTGCTACCATGTTTAGGAGGGTTCTGAAGCCCAAGGTCATCCGAACTGCTATAAATACCCTCAATTTCCTGTACATAAACTAACCTTGGAGTAACATGTCTTTCATAGATTTCGCGCCTTTTCTTTCGTGTTCAAATTGTCGTGTAGATTTAGCTTAGGAAACCGATTCAGGCGTTCAGTCAAAAAATCTATCAGTAATTCGTTTATATATTTATTAATTATATAAACATGTATACACTTTCTATGTTCCCTTATACGATGAAATTAAAATCGCTCTATATCTATCTTTCTACGAACTAATTCTTTCTTTCTGTACTATATCCTTATATAGAATCTTTCTTTTATATATTACATTGAGTTAACTGCTTCTATGAATCCGGTGTTCGTCTTTCTGTGCTAATGAGGTATGGCATATATGTGCCTGGTTCTACGTTGTAACTGACTGACTTTAAATCTAATACAATGAAATTGTTCAACCAAAGGTGGCAAAGTTATCTGATTAATATAGTAATCCTTATTTACTTAACAATATGAGAAAGTTTTAATTGATACTCTGGTAAACGCAATTTAAAAGACTATGATAACAAACTCCGAGGCACAAGATAATTAAGATTTATTCAATCAGATTTTGAGTATTTTAAAAATCAACTAAAATGATAATTGAGTTTGAACCGATTTTCGTTTGAGCGTTAACGTCAATTAAGTTAACCTGTTGAAATATTACATAAAAATAATTAGCAAAACATTAATTAGATGCCGGTTTAGTAGTCTAGATGTTAAGCATTTGCGTGAGAGAACGAAGGTCCTGAGTTCGAGTTCCGCGGGCAGGATTATAGATACGCACTGCTGAGGAGGTTCATACTGGGATGAAACGGCCTTCCAGTGCTTGCAAGTTTTCAGTTGTGGTCTAGCTTAGGTTGACTTGTGAATTCAATTGTTAAAAATATTCATTTTTAATGAAACAGCGGTGATACTATAATTTATGGACGAACCAATCAGATATAAGATAACGAGTCATAAATTTTTGCGCGAAATCCATTCATACATTTGACTAAATAGAGTTTTGGCATTATAACTGATGTCGATTCGTGATGAAAACCCTAAATCTAATTTTAACCCTAACCATCAACTGTGAATGAGAATTCTAACTGCTTTATAACCTCATTTAGTCATATTCAGTAGGTGTCCACTTAAGTCACTTCAGCGTCGCTCAAAGGTCGTCCATAAATTATAATCGCACTGAAACAGCATTTCCCTAATATTATGTGAGTGTTAGAACGCAGTTAGAATTAGAAGCTACAACTTGTAACAAAATTTAAAGGTAAGTGTAATTTAGAAAAGTTAACAATTAACATAGAAATACAGATCCTAATTTAATAGGTTTTCATTCTTTATCATAAGTACACTGTCATATGAAGTCTCATTAGATTGGAAGTTAAAAGGCTAACAAGTTTACATTATACATATAACATTTTAATATGAAAACAGTTAAGAGGTTATGAATAACGAAATAATAAGAAACACTTACTTTTATGAGAACATCAATCTTTGGTTACATAATAATAAAAAACCAACTAACCTGTCCATCAAAACCAAATCCCATAGCGTTTGAAGTTGCAATACTTTGAAAGCTGGTTATTTCATTAACTGTATAAACTAAAACTTTCACACGTCCACGAATAAATTCTTGACCTTCAGCAACAAACGTAGATTCATAGTCAAATCCCAAATCATATAGAAAACTAACGATTGGTCCAGTAACCGGCATTTCAAGACAACTACGTCGTAAAATCTGGAATCATAATTAAAAATGGCAGAGAAGTGATATCGGAAAAAATAATACAAAAACATGAAATACCATTACAAAATAATAAAGTATAAAAGTACTTTTGATCAATAATAAACGATGTTGTCTGAGAAGAGGTCGATAGAATGTAAATGGTAGAAGCTAGTGAATCTCATTATGTTATATGTATTTGTTAGTTGTCATAAGAGATTAATTCTTTTAATCCATATATGTTGGTTGTTTGTATCTTCCCATTGATGTTTAGAACAGCAATTGATCAATCTCTTCGGGTAAATAGGCATCCTGTGCGAAGTGACTTGATATTACCGTTACGTTAAAAATAATTAAAGCAGAAATAGATTGTGGCTAACAGTGAGATTGCGATGAATTTTGAATCGGTTGGTACCGGGTTCGAGTCCCGGAGTGAACATCAACTGCGGGAGGCAGGTGCATCCGTCTGAAGCTCGAATAGGATGAAACACACATCCTGAATTCCACTGCTATCCTCTATCCATCTGTGTTTAATTTTTTTTAATGATCTAATGAGATAAGCAGTATGCTTAGCAATAAACAAAATGATGTGACAAAGCTTAAGGCACATCAAAATACTCTCAGTTCGTAACAATAAAACGGTCACATTTCCATTCCTCTTATTTAAAATAACCTCAGATGTTAACCTACCTAGCCATCACGCAATACCAAGCTTTGCTAGGATTATGTCCACACACAATTGACTCGTAAGGTAACAGAAAAGAACCAAAGGTCTATTTAGTGAATATATAGCCAAATATTAGTTTTAAAGTCCTCATGATGAAAACAAAAGCTTATAGATGAGAACGGTAGTCGACATTCATCAGTTACAAAGAATAATAATTTAAGGAGATTGTGTTGAGGTTAATCGACGTAAAGCAACTGAAAAAGTTGGGACAGGGGTTAATAATTATTCAATACTGATTACCCAATAGCTGGTCAATATTTGAACCTAATTAGAAAAAAAACTAGTTTCAACTATCAATCAGCACACATGTTTGTAATAATATGCGCATACAATGATACGGCAGGTCTAAATAAACCATTACAAAACGACATGTAATCAACAGATTGAAATTCTGTACAAGCAGAATAGCTTAATCAAAAGTCCTGATAGTGTTTTCTTTTTAATCAGACATAACTTTACTTACAACCTGAGTGTACATGACAACAGGTAGACTTATAAGTATTAGAACTAACTACGGTAAAAAAAACCGTGAAGAATGAAATCGAAGCATATACGGTACGCATATGTGCATATGATCAATTATTATTCTGTGTCATCTGTTCAAATGCTGCGCAACTACACTTATTCTAGTCATCTGTATGTAGAGGATACAGTTGACCGGAGACGTTAAATCATTTTTGCAAACCGACGACTGTTAATCATCGGTTGTTCAAGTAAATTTCTTATTCCTTTTAAGTAGTTTTTCCGATAAAAATTCTAATTACGCTATTCCTACATACTTCAACGTAATAATATCATATGGTTGACAGATATGTGAAGATTAGTCTTTAAATGGTTATGTTATTGGCTGATGTATCACTCAATACCCGGATGTACATAACAGCTGATTTATCCTAGTTTAGGACTTTTTAGTAGTGCCCATTAACGACCACATATTATACTGAAGACCTTGGGAGACCTATTAGCCAATCAGGAAATGCTACTTAGTTATAAAACTACTAACAATACAAAGCAATGGAATAACGGCTTTCATCCTAATAATTAACGCACACAAGTTAAATTTCCCGTTGTAGTACAGAAAAAAGGACATGTTTACACGTATACGTACTGGGAGTCGGGTTAATGTTGTGAGTTAGGTGATCACACCATAAATTTTTTGTCACCAACTGCCATCCGTTATAATGGATAAAAGGTTAAGAGTTAAACTGAACTTTCGAGTTAGGTTTACAAATTGAGATCAGTATTTTTAACACGAACTGACATCGGCTATAATGCAATACCTTACTATGTTCCAGTTTACAAACCTGTGGAACTTAGAGTTAAGATTCCGAGTGAAAGTAAGATTGGGAGAACATTATCTAGCCTTACTAAACAGTCTTAATTACACAATGAACGACATCATGTACCTTAACAAACAATTTACCTTAAGAGTAGGTATGTTATGTAATTTAGTTTAAGCACGACGCAAAATCCAATTATCAATTGCATAGTAGATATTTTCACTGATACATATAAACTTACTATTTTATCAGTTTCTATGGCTCCTAAATATCGTAGAACAGAAAATTCTCGACCAGGTTTATTTACTCTACTTAAAAGACTTCGACGAACACGTATAGTGACAGTTGCACTACCTGATGCAGTGGCAGCTAAGACGCCAACGGCAGCAGATGTATTTCCAGATGATCTGTTCATACCTATAAGGTTATTTGTATCAGTTCGATTATCACTTCCTATTTCGAATATAGTTTCTTGATCACAGAAATCTGTCCATTCACGGCACAAACCATGCAATCGATTCAATAATAATTCATGTTGAATAGGAGATGAAACCACTGTCTATTGAACATTGAGATTGAAAAAAAGGATGAAAAGTTTAATTTATTTATGAAATTTGTATAGTTATGTAATATATAAACTCTCTCAAACATCGGGATTAGTGCATATGCATTTTAGAAGAATATATTAGCTATAAAACAGGTCATTGCATCAGGACATAACAAAAGCTGAGTATTTCTTCATGTTTGTTCAGCTTACGGGATAAATAATTAATTAGTAGTATTATCTTATTATGTAGAGACAACTTAATTAAGGTATTGAAAAGTCGCAGTTGGATTTATGTCAATTAAAGCTGGACCACCATGGAAAACCTGGAAGCACTGGATGACCGTTTCGTCCTAGTATGGGAATCCTCAGCAAAGCGAATACATGATTCCGCCTTGCGACGCAGGACTCCTCTTCTATATATTTGTTTAATGTTTGACAACGTTGTCTATTACTGAAAACATCTACTGGTCTTCGCTTTATGATTGTTTTGTTTCTACTGAATGATCATTGTAATTACGAGCTCGATATATGTCCATATACCTAATAAGTTAGTAATTGATCCTAAAATGTTACACTAACAAAGAACTTTGAAAAATTGCTAAAGAAATACTAACTTGTACAAAGTATTCTTGCATGGTTGCGCCATTAGCTGATGGTGTTGTACCAGTGAAATTGAAAGCTGCAGTTAAAGCGATTGCATTACGCCGATCTACCGTTTCTCCTGAGGATGGTTGTGCTAATCCTTCAACGGGTCCAATTACTTCAGCAATACTTCCACTTTCTCCAGGTAAAGCTGATATAGTTTCATCTGGTATGAGTCGAGTATTCATTATGTTTTATATGGGTATCTAAATATTTTTTTGATATACAAAAATTTAAAAACCTGTGGTTTGACAAAAGCATACGAAACCTTAATAATGAAACTAATGAATGTAGCCACAAACTAAACATCTATTGAAAACCAAGAAACACTGGATAGCGGTTTCGTCCTATTGTGGAGCTTCTCAGTGGTGTACGTCTGCGACGTCATCGAAGATTAAGCTCATCGTCTTCAGGTCTCGCGTTTCAGTGGTTTAAAGACCAGTCAATCACCGAGAGACTCAAAGGTTTGGGTTTAACTTCCGATGGGGTTATAGAGGCGCGCTACCGAGGAGTCCCATAGTGGGACGAAACAGTTGATCAACGCCCCCAGATTTCCGATGGATGTCTAACTTTGATAAGTTCGTGAAGCAATCTAGGAAACTCAACAGTCTCTACAAAACGCCATAGAGTGAGTAACGAACAATGTTTAATATGACAAAAATATCTCACAAATAAACTAATACCATTCCATCAATTGCATTTGAAGCGTAGTAGCAGAAATACGAACTGGTACTAGATTCGACGGAATAACAAAATCAATAAGAATAACAAAAAATGTATATACTACTGTACATAAATGCTAAAAATTCTATAACCATTATATATTAGCTGGATATAATTAAAGCAACACCCTTTTCTTCTTGCCGAAATTAGTTTTTTTTTTATCAGACAAGAACCATGAATTCAAGTCGTTTGGTTTAATAAGTGCATTAATTAGTCAGCTTCTAGTTACTTAAGGGAAATGAAGAATGACAATTCTTCATTATACAAGAACTAATTTGTGCATGGAATATCTTTTCACGGGCTTTGAAATAAAGAAGGAAACAAGTTTTATTCATTCATTCAATAGACTAGTCGATAATGTAAACTACCACACTAGCTATGCTAATCTAAATCTTTCTATTCGACAATGAAATATCTATAGTTCAATAATTACATTTCACTGAACATTAAATAATTCTAAATTAGTAAAAAGAAAAGACAAATAACAAAATGTGTGGATTATTTATTTCAGTGGTTCAGATCATGTATCAATTGAAGCTAGACCATCATGGAAAACCTGAGAGCACTGGATGGCCATTTCGTCCTATTGTGGGACTCCCCAGTTGTGCGCATCCACGATTCCACCTAGCGAGATTCGAACCTTAATAGGACGAAACGGCCGTCCAGCACTTCCAGGTTTTCCATGGTGGTCTAGCTTCAGTTGACTCATGATCTCAACCACTGAAACTACCATAATATTCACAAAAATCCTTCTGATATGAATTATTTATTTGTTTATTGATTAAGTAACCAAAAATATACCAAAAAAAAACACAACAACCAAACAATATTAATATTTATTTGTACAGATTTATTGCTTTACACCGTCAATAACACAGTTCAGTGTATATTGGCAAGAAAAAAGATACCATTTCAAAATTAACAAATAAGTTTAAAAGGAGATTATATTTATTAAACATTCCACCTATTTTGTATAACGCTTCAAATAAGTCAGTTACAAGAGAGAAGAAAGAAACAAACAAACAAATGTAGGGTATGTTATTGTTTTTCAGTTGGTTTTGGTGTGGAAGTTCGACTAGCTTTCATTAAATGATGATAATTTGGTAGAATTTTTGTTAGAAAATCTAATTGTAATGTTTGTGCAGCTGGACGTTCAGTTGCAATACGACGATGACCCTAAAGGAAATTAAAACAAATAGAAATATATTCTTAAAAAAACACTTAAAGTATATAAATATGTAGGCTTATTTCAGAAACAACAAATTGTTATAACTGTAAAATTGGCTCCATCAGCACTAATGTACAGTCGACTGTTACATCTGCAGAGTCGTTGTTGTTATGTGCGTATCAACTTTGTTGAATCTGCATCCTTACTGTTTTTATTTGACAATCGGGAACCACTGAAATTTCTCGATCCCAATGCTTACACTGGAAAACGGGAACTAACTATAATTCCCAGGATGAAAAGTGAAAATATGAAAGACTGGTGCAATGTAGATGTATTGACTTAGCAAAACACGTCTCCAAAAAAGTCCCAAAATCATATCATCCTTAGACTACATTAAAATAATTTATATACAAAATTTCACATACATTTAGTAGTATTGCATGGAGTTAATGTAAATACAACTCGTCTGAATTAATACAGGGAATAAAATTGTTACACTGAACGAGAGTTCACTATTGTTATCTAGAACAAAGTTAATACTAAATTGATACACGAGAATATTGACCTCAAAATACCACACTGAACAAAGTTGGTCCCTGTCACCACGGCCAAAATTCTAATGAATTAATGCAAAAAACACTGAGTCAAATAATGTCATCTTTTTACTCCATCACATCAAAAACCAACGGAAAATTTGTATTTTCCCTAATCTATTTAATCGATGACTTACTAGGTTTATTATTAAACAATTTGGTGTTATAAAGATGTGTTACTCTTACAGTTCCATCTTGCGATCGAATCCTTTTGAATGTTATTTAGGATATTTAGATCCTCCTTCATTTCGATATAATTTTTTATTCTATACTTTTCATTTTGTTCGTTTTCGTTTACTTTGTTGATCTGAGGTGCGGTCATTTGGACAGATATACACGGACACTTGTACTCGAGTCCATGTTGATGACTGACTGGTGTTGTCGTTAATGTCTATAAGCTAAAACACTGCTCCATGGCTTTGAAACAATTTCGTACAATGCTATTTAGTGATTCGCATTAATGTGGGAAAAATGAATGTAGACCACATGATAGTGTAGTTCTATCTTAGTTTGTTCGTTAAATATGTTAAACAAAGAAATAATAACGTTAAATGTATGAAAGTAGTCGGCAAGGAACCTTAAACCTAGTTCTCGTGCTAGTTGGTACTCAATGGTAAGGCGTATCTGCAGTCCTCAGGAAATTAATGCCTCTTGATGGTTTTAAACCCAGTTTTCATAGCTTTCAACATTACTACTAAGCTATTCGAGAAACGATCGACACCCTATATATTTACAATCGGTTGGTTACTACTCAACGATCAGTTGAAGAGAAACAATAATATTTACTGAATAATCTTTCGAATACAATTTGTTATCGCGATGGTTAAATTTAAGATAATTATTAAGTTTGACTTTTTCAAGTTTTGTTGTGAATTAACTTCGTAACTATGTAAAAGTTTATGTGTTCGACTACGGAACACACCTTTATGCGGTATTAATGATATCGTTCAGTTGTTTAAACCGAGTTGGGTGGAACAGGTTTCCAACTGGTAACTTAGATGATATTTGTGTTATAAAAATATTTACTTCTTTTCATTAATTTTAATAATACATCAAGAACAGAATATATAAATGTAGAAATGATCAAAGTAAATCCAACTGGATTCATTTGTACAATATAGTGAGGCAAATGTTCTACGAAGAGTGACAAACAATTAGGTTGAAGAATAAGCAATTTCGTAATCATCATAAAATAATGTACTCTGAATTGTTGAAGTATTCGCCATCAAAAGGATGAGACATTACCTACGCACTGGTAAAGGGAGATATACTGTTAACCCGCTCAACAGTACTCACTTACTGTCTTACATTGAACGGAATCTGAAATACTCAAGCTTAGTGAGGAATTCCAAACAAGAGTGAAACGGCTGCCTTGAGCGGCCTGATATTCAACGCTTCACTAAGTAAATCATCACTTTATGAAGGTAAACACTATTCATATAGGATCTTATAGACAAATATTAGAAGAAAAATGTTGAGTGAAGAAAATGATAAAATCAAATACGTATGTATAAAATATAGTTAAACCGATTGCTTTCGACTGGATACAAAAAAGGAAGTTGTGTAATCACTGATCAAAATCAGGATGAATGACGCGCTGAACTGAATGTAATTGGGTCAGAGGGATATTTTATTTTGTCAGGTTATTGTAATCAGTAATGACGGACAGATTGTTTAGTGAATGATCACACGACATATAATGACTGATTTTTAGATTTAGAACCCTTCTAAGCAGAGTAGTTGTGGAACCCAGGACGCACATTTCGGTTAATTTAGGACTCATTCGTCAAATGTGCATGCATCCTAGATTTGATGTTCACTCCGGGACTCCAAAACATTGTCGTTCGCTTCAAAAGTCATCATGTTATCCAATTAGAAGTTGAGTCTAGACAGGCATTAACTTGTGCAATGGATGAAGTTTATTTCTTATTTCGTTCTGTTTGTTTGGATTTTCCTATTGATGTTTGGGATTGTAACTGATAAGTCTCGATTTAAAATGCTTATGACTTAATGGCAATATCAAGGCAATCCGCACAGAATGCTTATATACCAGAAGAGATTGACCAATTGCAGTCCTGAACATCAATCGGAAGATACAAATAACTAAAACATGAATTAGAACCTTTCTTACTTTATATCCCTTTCTGCAATTATATCAAATACATAAGGTTATTTATATGGTGTCATTATCAAAACATTTTTTAGAATTACGTGGTCATATCGAATCATTAAAAGGACCCTAATATTCACTTACTGGATGTCCAGCGATGGTAACCACTAAGACCTGAGTGGCTAGCTGGTTGTGATTTTATTTTCCTTAAAGACAGGAGCAAACTGTATTCAGAAGAACGTGTTCCACTTCGTCAATCATTAAAATCGCTGTATCTGAACTTGTGTTTCTCTTTTCTTTCCTAGGACTAGCCACTTTCTACTAAAAACACTTGGTTTACATAAAATTGGGTGATCTGAACATATATTTACTATAGTGAAAATTCCCATTTTGACATTTGGTAAATAAAGAATGAACAAATCGAGGAAAAAATTTCTTTTCAATTAGTTTTTCATCATGGCTCTACACTAATATATATAATACTCATCGAGTGGATACGTTATGTAATAATTATGTAATGACATATCGATTATAAACTAACATTGAGTAATTGTAAGTAATTATTCGAACGTCGAGCAGTTGCTACGGTGCATAATATGTAAAGACAGAAGAAGGAATTAACAAAATATTTTGATGAATGGTCAGTACTATAGAGTTATGTAAGAACCAAGAGACGAATGTTGAGAATAAGTAAAATACAAAAAATGGAAGAAATATGAAATTAGTTTATCAATGTTCTGATACAAACTCCCCTATACTGATGACTAAGGTAGTGAGAGTGGTTGTACAAACTTCTTTTGGATGCAAAGGTTTGGTTTGTGAACATGGATTGCGATGGCTTCAGCAATACGCAAAAGACGAACTCGTAAACCATGCAGTAAATTTCATGAAATATGGTGGATAACCTTAAAAGCATTATTCAGTTCAACTTGATGACCTGTGTCCACCAGGTGAGCGAGAATAGAACTATTAATCACTCTTACTTGCCCTTTGCTCAACCACGACGGATGGTGTTCTATTATACGATGATGGGCTTGCCGAATTGTAAGCTCCATATAACTCGCTGTACAGTAAAATGGACTACTTAAAGACACAATTAGCCATCTAACATCTTATTGTCACTATATAGATGATACTTTCATAATATTAGAAAAAGAACATGACAAGGAGAATTTTCTTAATATATTTAATAACATTTATGCATCAGTTACTTTTACACTAGAGGAAGAACAGAACAATAGCACATCGTTTCTAGATGTCCAACTAACTAGAAGAGCAGATGGAACATGTAGTAGTGATGTAGTATCACCAACCGTCACATACGAAATATGATTTAAAGCTAAGCACAAGAATCTGTACTTGGTAATTGAGTTATATCATAACATTGTAACCTTCACTTGCATACTCTTCTTGGTAAAATGAGACAAAATAACACTAGAAGCTACCAACGTAAAGCGAAATATAGAAACCAAACAATGTCATATACTTGGCACATGTATTATGTGACGAAGAAATTGTAAGAGTATAACTATTAAAAATCCTTTATGGTTGAAGATATGTACCCAATAGTTTATAATGCAAATACACATTATTACTATTATTATGCAGAAGATATTTATGGATGATATACATAGTAGAAATGATAGTTTTAATAACACTCACTTCATCACTGTATACAACAGTACATTCTGGTAATGTTTCACCAGAATCCATTGAACACATTGCACCAATTACACAACCATGGGTTATTTTAACATTTGATCCAATATGACACTTCGCTTCAAAAACATTATTATCACCAACTTCTAAAGCATAACAATGTGCTCCTACCTTAATATAAAGAGGGGAAAAATAGCCGTTAATGGATTATATGATAAGTATAGTAAATGAAGAATCAATTCTACACTAATCGTTTGTACATTTCACGTAAGTTTGTGAGAAAAATAAATCAATGATAGTAAGTAGAACATAAGTAGGAAATATAATAATATAAGTAGACATATAGACAAACTCGTAACAAAACGATAGTAATAAATGAGAACCAGTGTGACATTGGTTCAACTAACTTCGAACACATTGTAATCACCAATTTTCATTATGGAACCAGGAATTCTATTCACAATTTCCACCTGTTCTTCAATTAAATTAAATGATCCTATATGTATTGGACCAGCTTCAGCGATTATACGAGCTTTTGGATGAATAATAGTATTTGCACCGATAATTATCTCACCAGATAGTTCACATTCGGAACAAACAACAGCTCCAGGTGTTATGCGTACTTGACTACGAAAGGATGTAAAACCTGAAGCCGGTTTCATTACACTACATAAAACAAAATAAAAGATATCACATCATCAACTTATAATTTACAAAATCAATCGAGGAATGTTTGGAACAACTAATTCTTCACAGTTTGAGGATTTTCAAGTGTCGACGAAAAAAACTAAAGCCGATCAGTTCAGGGTAGAAGTAGTATATCAATGATTTATTTTAACGAAGTTCATATTTGGACTGTTGTAGGTAAACGCAGCAAGTTGCTATGTTAAATGTGATGGCGACAAAGTGATTTGTTAGAAGTACACCATAATGATATCTATAATGATTTACTTTGACAGATCTTGTGACTGAGATATATAAAAACTTGTGGAGATTGTACTATTTTCACAGTTGAATTCACAAGTCAGTCTAAGCTAGACCACCATTGAAAATCTGGAAGCACTGGACGTCCATTCCATCCTAGTATGAAACTACTCAGAAGTGCGCATCCACGATCTCGCACACAGGACTCGAACATTAGACATCATATTATAGACTTAAAGTTATTTCTATAAGTTTTGTTTGACCAAGTGAAGCAACCATATTTATCAATTTACTCACGATAAACACGGTTTAAAACTTAGTAAACGACCTGCTTAGCATTCTAACTGGAATAAATTTGAATAACTTGCATTGATTTTCGATATAAATGAAAAACATTATGTTAGGATTTCAACATCAAATAGTAGGTTTACAAATTTATCGAATCCAAATATTTTGCTATGTCGAAAACTTAAGCAAAAACCCATTCAGTTCGAAAAATATATCAAAACTCCAAGAATTAGTAGACGTATTTAACATAGGTTCAATTAAACTTAAGGTCGGTTCCGGTCAATTCCTGATCTGAATAACACTATATATCTATGTGTTTGTTTGATTTTTTCAACACTGATCTCATTCACGTCAATTTTATAAGTTAACAATTGATTCACTAACTGACTTAATCTTCATATGTTGAAAAAATATATTTTATACGTAAAAGTAAATGTGGTAATTTGACGAATCCGTAAATGTAACCGTTGTTAAGATGTGAAAACTACTCAGATACCTGAAAAAGTTTACATTTTTTATCATTACGAAATAGAACTCAGATAGCTGGTAAACATTAGTCAGTAGATATGTGAATATCTTTACCAAAGAAAAAAATAACTTAGTGTATATAACAAACATACGTCTTTTTGATTCATTATATAAAGACTTCAGCGGCAAGAAGTATACATACACTGAAGTTAATTGTCACGTCCGCGAGACTATAATTTATGGACGAACCAATCAGATATAAGATAACAGATCTCGGAGCTTAGCGAGAAATCCACTGATCCATTTGACTAAATAGAGTTTTGGCATTATAGCTTATATTAGTTCGTGATGAAAACTCTAAGTGTAATTCCCAACTCTAACCAATAACTGTAAATCATAATTCTAATTACTCGCGCTGGTATATAACCCTTATTTGTTCCCAGTTATTAGGTGAACACTCTCAGGGTCACTTTAGCGTCGCTCAAAGGTCGTCCATAAATTATAGTCTCGCTGTCAGGTCAGTTTCGAAGTACCTTACTTACTTACGCCTGTTACTCCTCGTGAAGGAGCATAGGCCGCTCACCAGTTTCAAAGTATCATTTTGTATTCTATAAGATTTATACTAAACAATTTAACAGACATACATACATTTAAACAAATCACAATCATCATCATCAGTCAACAAGTAATTAAGAAGAAATTATCAATAATAAAAGTAATACTGTACATATTTAATGTGATAATACTAACAAAATTTACAGATTAATTACTATCTTTATAAAATATCAAGTCCACAATACGGTTACAAATAGAAATTCTTAAAAAAATTCTTTAATGCATTTCTTTCTCAGTAAAGTACATGTTAATCAAATGTGTAATGCAATATAAGTGGAAATGCATTTTACATGTAGAAAAATATGAATATAAATGAAGGTAATAAACATGATTAAAATAAAAAGATTTGGCGCGAAAGTACAATTTAAAATCTCACTTGAAAAATAAATAAATTTATAAAGATCTATTGAATATAAATGCATATATATATATATATATATATATATATATATATATATATATATATATATATATATATGATCCAATATGTATCGAGCCAGCTTCAGAGATTATATGTGCTTTTGAATGAATAATAGTATTTACACCGATAATTATCTCACTAGATAGTTCTTATTCGGAACAGACAACAGCTCCAGGTGTTATGCGTACTTATATATAATGGAATTGAGAGTACTGTTATTGTGTAAAAGATAAAGATGGACCATTAAAAAATTTTATATTTTGTTAAAATGTTTAAGTGTTTCTTTTTAAAGTTAATTAAAACGAATTGAATTTCTATTTTGAAATTATTGATCATTCAATGCATAATTCAGATCCTGAAATAAATGGAAATTAAAGAATTACAGTAAAAATAATGTGTTTTATAACACAAATTTTATGATATGTTTCAGATAAAAAAAAAGAAATGAAGTACGGAATACTTCCAAGACTATAATTTCAACATTATTAATGTTACTTTGAACTGTTTGTTACACACTGAATACAATAGTTACTGTTCGCTTACAAAAGTGAACCCGAAAGAGTGTTATCTTAAAACAAAAGTGTTAAACTAAATTATAACAATAAAATAATGTTGAGATGGTGGCGAAGACTTGTAGCTTAGGTGGATGATTTTAGTGGAGTTTTGTTCTCTGAGTTGGATGGTTTTGTCGTGAAGCTTTCATCGTTCTTCTGAATAGAGTGAAGTTTGTGCTGATGATGTCGTTCAGAAGAAAAATGACAACCATCCAGCTCAGAGAACAAAACTCCGCCAAAATAAGACGGTGTTTTTGTTAATGTCTTATTTATTTATTTATTTGAACACATGTATATTGGTACAAGAGAGCGCCAATATATATGCGCCACACAAAACAATGAGAACTCGAAGAGAAAAAGAAGGTAACGAGCGTAAAAAAAAAGAGAACAATAACGAAGAGATTGGTGTAAGTTAGTGTAGTAATAATGAAGGAACGGAAAGGTATAATCAGAAGAAATCTTTCAGGTAAAGGAGACACAACCACTTTTTAGAAAGAAAGTAAAAGAAGGTTACAGCAGGATCGCCACTGGCTTCTATTCTGAGCCATATCTGATAACGTCTCTAGCCATTTTTTTTTTTTTTTTTTTTTTTTTTTTTTTGGGAGTAGTGAAGGACCAACAGAAGCCAGTCCTTTGCAGCTTTCTTTCATACCACGACACCATGTCATGCACTGACCACCTCTCCGCCTCTTCCAACCAGTCCCAGAGTCGGCAAATAATGCACGACGTGGAATTCTCTGGGACGACATTCGTAGAACATGTCCAAGCCACCGAACTCGATGTTTCAAGATAGTGACACCAATTGCACTATCGTCTCTGTGCCTGAACACACGATGCCGAACCTCTGCATTACTAACATGATGTTGCCACTGGATGTCAGCAATCCTTCGGAGACAACGATGATCGAACACAGAAGGTCGTCTAACGTCCTCAACTCGGAGAGGCCAGGTTTCACAAGCATAGAGCAAAACTGCTCTCACCGACGCGTTGTAGATCCGACCTTTTACAGCCAGACTAACATCACGAAGGCGCCAAAGGTGGCCCAGATTGGCATAAGCCACTCTGGCTTTCACTACACGTGCATTGATCTCATCACTCACACCTCCACCAGCACTTATGCAGCTACCCAGATACACGAACTTCTCAACTACGTCTATCTGCTCACCGTCCAGGGTGAGTACAGGATAAGAATCCTGCCAGTCTTGTAGAAGTACTTTGCACTTCGAAGGTGCAAAGCACATACCATACCTACGGACACTGATTGCCAACTGATTAAGTGCGGATTGCATGCCTTGGGCATTATCGCACAGTAAGACAATATCGTCCGCATACTCAAGGTCGAGAAGTCTTTCTCCAGGCAACAGATCCACACCACCATTACTTACATTCATCAGAGCTGTTTCCAGAATGTCATCGATGGCAAAGTTGAAGAGGAATGGTGAGATTGGGCAGCCCTGCCTAACCCCACTGCTCGAATGGAACAATGGAGAGAGGTGGTTGTATGCCCTCACTCTGCCTGAGGTGTTTTTATACAGGGCTTTCAGGATGTTAATAAACTTCTCAGGCACACCCTTCTTCAATAGACAATCCCAGAGAACAGTCCTGTCCAACGAATCGAAGGCAGCCCTGATGTCAAGAAACACTACGATTGTTGGCCTTTGAAAAGTATGGCGGTGTTCTAACATTTGGCGGAGGGTGAAGATATGATCAATACATCCTCGACCAGAACGAAACCCAGCCTGCTCCTCGCGAGTCAATCTTTCTCGGGTTTTGAACAGCCTACGAAGAATGACGGAAGCCAATAGCTTGGACGCAATCGGAAGTAAACTTATCCCCCGATAGTTGTTACAAGAACGACGTGAACCCTTTTTAAAGATAGGGACAACTATCGACTCATTCCATGACGTTGGTACACACTCTAGTTCCCAAACCTTTGTAAACAACGTCGTCAATTCCTTAGTCAAAAAGTCACCACCATCTTTAAAAAGAGCCGGAGGTAAGTCATCTGGGCCAGGTGATTTGTAGCGCTTCAAGAGTTGGAGTTCCTTGCGGACTTCCTCCTCATTTGGTGGATCAGTCGTCACCGGCCATGTAGGGCAGGACAGTCTGACCGATGTTGCCGGAGCAGCAGGCCAGTTGAACTGCCTTTCGAAAAATTCTGCCCATCGTCCAAGACGTCGATCGATGTTAGTGATTGGCATTCCGTCATCCTTGCAGATTGTTTTGTTCACACCAGACTTCTTGCTGTCAGTGGCTCGGATGAGTTGGAAGAGCTTCCGGTAATTACCAGATGCAGCTGCTGCTTTCAACTCATTAGCACGCTCCGACCACCAGGCTTCTCGGTCCTTACGCAAGCTTTGCCCGATTTCATTACGTAACAGCCTTCGTTTGTGGTCAACCTCATGGTCACCAAGAGTAGACCGACGGGCTTCAATGAGTTGTAAGGGACCCGAAAAAACTCAGTGCTTAAAGCGGGACGTTTCGCAAACCCACAACTGTCTGTACCCACCATTTTCATGGCGTCATGCAATTGCAACCAATGCTCATCTATACTTTTCGGTGAAATGGTAGCTAGCCTAGAAACTAGTTTGGTTCGATAATTACTAGCAGGCCCCCTGAATGCCCTGGTACGGCCGAGAGTGGGGAGAGTCCGCTCTCCCTCTCGAAATACTCTCACACGGCCACGCGTATACAGCCTCTGCCAGGGAAGTCCTACTCATTGCCTTCTCGTGGCGGGGGTGTTGTTTACGAAAATGAGAGGACGAAAAGCGAATGTCCGGCGCTTTAACCGGATTCCAAATCAATGGTGCACATGGGCTCCAGTATCCTGCGGGAACGAATGGCGTATGAACCAATCGTTGGTCACCGGCTACCATGGGACTGCATCTCCTTACGATGCTCCACTGCCTTGTGGGTTAGACCTTTAGGTCAAAGGCTCGGGGAGTGGCCCCCTAAGATAACCACCTGCTTCGGTTTGGGCACCCGGGCAGTATCACAGCCCACACACAAATTGATGAACTCTTTATGCCTACGGAAATTACCTTTCTTGCTTTGAAAAACAAACAATTGATTCAGATTATTATCATTACAATTATTGTCATTATTAATACTGTTATTATTATTACTAGTATTATTGTCATTATTGTTATTATTATCATTATTATTATTATTTTCCACATTATTCACCCTCTTTTATACTTATACAGCGGCTCGTCTTTGGCGGAAATCCGACTGTATCTATACGTTCTCGAGTCACTGTCCGGTTGAAAATTGTATGTTACCACCGAATACGAGGACTGAAGCAGATTTTCTGAAACCACGTGCACCATTCAAACTGGCTGCCTTCAACGTTCGCACATTTATGCAGGTCGGACAACAGATAGGGCTGGCTATGTCTTTGGAAAGTCTTAATATCGACGTGTGTTGTCTATCCGAGACCCGTATTCAAGACTCTGGCGAAGTACTACAAATTCGATCTCCATCTGTCGCTTCGAAAAGCTTGTTTTACGTGCGCTTATCCGGGGACCCTGTGGCATCTTCGTCTGGTCTTGCTGGCGTTGGTGTCGCACTAAGCGCTAGAGCTGAGGCAGCACTAGTCGATTGGATCCCCATTAACAGTCGGTTATGTGCTGTTAGATTAGAAAGTTCCATCAAAGTGAGAAGAAATCGGCGTGAGAAACGATGTCTTTTCGTCATCTCCGCCTATGCCCCGACAGATTGCAGCCCGGATGCAATCAAGGATGAGTTTTACCACCAGTTATCAGTTCTTCTCCAGAAAGTGCGTTCGACAGATATTGTAGTACTAGCCGGAGACTTGAATGCTCAGGTCGGGCGTCTAGGCACAGAAGAGAGTCGTTTAGGTGGCCGATGGGGACTCGTTGGTCGCAGGTCAGATAACGGGGACCGTCTACTGCAACTTTGCACAGACCACAACCTGTTTCTGGCTAGCACTAACTTTCGGCACAGTCATCGCCGATGTGCCACCTGGCGTCCTCCCTCTGCATCTCAAGCCTGGACTCAGATTGATCACATCGCGATCAGCTACCGCTGGCGTGGTTGTGTAAAAGACTGCCGCTCCTTTTGGAGTACCTATCTGGACTCTGACCATGCCTTGGTCTGCGCCAATCTTGCCTTACTTTTCAGTGGACAACGAAGTGAACGCCATCAACGGATTGATGTTAGCAAGCTGGTTGCAACTTCTGTTGCAAGTAAGTATCGAACCGAGCTAGCCTCTAGGCTAGCTACCACTCCACCGAAAAGTATAGATGAGCATTGGTTGCAATTGCATGACGCCATGAAAATGGCGGGAACAGTCAGTTGTGGGTTTGCGAAACGTCCCGCTTTAAGCACTGGGTTTCTTCTGGTTCCTTACAACTCATTGAAGCCCGTCGGTCTACTCCGGGTGACCGTGAGTTTGACCATAAACGAAGGATGTTACGTAAGGAAATTGGGCAAAGCTTGCGTAAGGACCGAGAAGCCTGGTGGTCGATGCGTGCTAATGAGCTGGAAGCAGCAGCTGCATCTGGTAACTACCGGAAGCTCTTCCAGCTCATCCGAGCCACTGGCAGCAAGAAGTCTGGTGTGAGTGAAACAATCTGCGAGGATGATGGGATGCCAATCACTAACATCCATCGACGTCTTGGACGATGGGCAGAATTTTTCGAAGGGCAGTTCAACTGGCCTGCTGCTCCGGCAACATCGGTCAGACTGTCCTGCCCTCCATGGCCGGTGACGACTGATCCACCAAATGAGGAGGAAGTCCGCAAGGAACTCCAACTCTTGAAGCGTTACAAATCACCTGGCCCAGATGACTTACCTCCGGCTCTTTTTAAAGATGGTGGTGACTTTTTGACTAAGGAATTGACGACGTTGTTTACAAAGGTTTGGGAACTAGAGTGTGTACCAACGTCATGGAATGAGTCGATAGTTGTCCCTATCTTTAAAAAGGGTTCACGTCGTTCTTGTAACAACTATCGGGGGATAAGTTTACTTCCGATTGCGTCCAAGCTATTGGCTTCCGTCATTCTTCGTAGGTTGTTCAAAACCCGAGAAAGATTGACTCGCGAGGAGCAGGCTGGGTTTCGTTCTGGTCGAGGATGTATTGATCATATCTTCACCCTCCGCCAAATGTTAGAACACCGCCATACTTTTCAAAGGCCAACAATCGTAGTGTTTCTTGACATCAGGGCTGCCTTCGATTCGTTGGACAGGACTGTTCTCTGGGATTGTCTATTGAAGAAGGGTGTGCCTGAGAAGTTTATTAACATCCTGAAAGCCCTGTATAAAAACACCTCAGGCAGAGTGAGGGCATACAACCACCTCTCTCCATTGTTCCATTCGAGCAGTGGGGTTAGGCAGGGTTGCCCAATCTCACCATTCCTCTTCAACTTTGCCATCGATGACATTCTGGAAACAGCTCTGATGAATGTAAGTAATGGTGGTGTGGATCTGTTGCCTGGAGAAAGACTTCTCGACCTTGAGTATGCGGACGATATTGTCTTACTGTGCGATAATGCCCAAGGCATGCAATCCGCACTTAATCAGTTGGCAATCAGTGTCCGTAGGTATGGTATGTGCTTTGCACCTTCGAAGTGCAAAGTACTTCTACAAGACTGGCAGGATTCTAATCCTGTACTCACCCTGGACGGTGAGCAGATAGACGTAGTTGAGAAGTTCGTGTATCTGGGTAGCTGCATAAGTGCTGGTGGGGGTGTGAGTGATGAGATCAATGCACGAATAGTGAAAGCCAGAGCGGCTTATGCCAATCTGGGCCACCTTTGGCGCCTTCGTGATGTTAGTCTGGCTGTAAAAGGTCGGATCTACAACGCGTCGGTGAGAGCAGTTTTGCTCTATGCTTGTGAAACCTGGCCTCTCCGAGTTGAGGACGTTAGACGACTCTCTGTGTTCGATCATCGCTGTCTCCGAAGGATTGCTGACATTCAGTGGCAACACCATGTCAGTAATGCAGAGGTTCGGCATCGTGTGTTCGGGCACAGAGATGATAACTCAATTGGTGTCACCATCTTGAAACACCGACTTCGGTGGCTTGGACATGTTCTCCGAATGTCGTCCCAGAGAATTCCACGTCGTGCATTATTTGCCGACTCTGGGACTGGTTGGAAGAGGCGGAGAGGTGGTCAGTGCATGACATGGTGTCGTGGCATGAAAGAAAGCTGCAAAGGACTGGCTTGTGTTGGTCCTTCACGACTCCCTGGTTGGGGTCCGAGAGATGGTGCTACACAGTGGCTAGAGACGTTATCAGATATGGCTCAGAATAGAAGCCAGTGGCGATCCTGCTGTAACCTTCTTTTACTTTCTTTCTAAAAAGTGGTTGTGTCTCCTTTACCTGAAAGATTTCTTCTGATTGTACCTTTTCGTTCCGTCGTTACTACCACACTACCTTACTCCAATCTCTTCGTCATTGTTCTCTTTTTCTTTTGCGTTCCCTAGTTTTTTTTTTCTCTTTCTATTTCTCTTCGAATTTTCATTGTTTTGTGTGGCGCATATATATTGGCGCTCTCTTGTACCAATATTTATGTGTTCAAATAAATAATAAATAAATAAATACTAGCAACAGAAATTGCGACCAGCTTGCTAACATCAATCCGTTGGTGGCGGTCACTTCGTTGTCCACTGAAAAGTAAGGTAAGATTGGCGCAGACCATGGCATGATCAGAGTCCAGATAGGTACTCCAAAAGGAGCGGCAGTCTTGTACACAACCACGTCAGCGGTAGCTGATCGTGATGTGATCAATCTGGGTCCAGGCTTGGGATGCAGAGGGAGGACGCCAGGTGGCACATCGTCGACGATTGTGCCGAAAGTTAGTGCTAGCCAGAAACAGGTTGTGGTCTGTGCACAGTTGCAGTAGACGGTCCCTGTTATCTGACCTGTGACCAACGAGTCCCCATCGGCCACCTAAACGACTCTTTTCTGTGCCTAGATGCCCGACCTGAGCATTCAAGTCTCCGGCTAGTACTACAATATCTGTCGAACGCACTTTCTGGAGAAGAACAGATAACTGGTGGTAAAACTCATCCTTGATTGCATCCGGGGTGCAATCTGTCGGGGCATAGGCGGAGATGACGAAAAGACATCGTTTCTCACGCCGATTTCTTCTCACTTTGATGGAACTTTCTAATCTAACAGCACATAACCGACTGTTAATGGGGATCCAATCGACTAGTGCCGCCTCAGCTCTAGCGCTTAGTGCGACACCAACGCCAGCAAGACCAGACGAAGATGCCACAGGGTCCCCGGATAAGCGCACGTAAAACAAGCTTTTCGAAGCGACAGATGAAGAGCGAATTTGTAGTACTTCACCTGAGTCTTGAGTATGGGTCTCGGATAGACAGCAGACATCGATATTAAGACTTTCCAAAGACATAGCCAGCCCTATCTGTTGACCAACCTGCATAACTGTGCGAACGTTGAAGGCAACCAGTTTGAATGGTGCACGTGGTTTCAGAAAAACTGCCTCAGTACTCATATTCAGTGGCAACATACAATTTTCAACCGGAGAGTGACTCGAGAACGTTTAGATACAGTCGAATTTCCACCAAAGACGAGCCGCTGTATAAGTATAAAAGAGGGTGAATAATGTGGTAAATAATGATAATAATAATAATAATAATAATAATAATAATTTGATTGTTAGTTGAAGCAAGTAAAGTAGTTTCCATAATTATAGGCAGTTCATCATATTTGTGTGTGGGCTGTGATACTGATCGGGTGCCCAGACCGAAGCAGGTGGTTTTCTTAGGAAGCCACACCCGAGCCTTTGACCTAAAGGTCTAACCCACAGGGCAGTGGAGCATCGTAAGGAGATGCAGTCTCATGGTAGCCGGTGACCAACGATTGGTTCATACGCCATTTGTTCCCGCAGGATACTGAAGCCCATGTGCACCATTGGTTTGGGATCCGGTTAAAGCGCCGGACATTCGCTTTTCGTCCTCTCATTTTTGTAAACAACACCCCCGCCACGAGAAGGCAATGAGTAGGACTTCCCTGGCAGAGGCTGTATACGCGTGGCCGTGTGAGAGTATTTCGAGAGGGAGAGCGGACTCTCTCCACTCTCGGCCGTACCAGGGCATTTGGGGGCAGTTAATGTCTAACAGTGAAGTTTGAGATATTTTATTCTAGAAATAGTTTTATTTACATATTATTGGTTGATATTTGTGATAAGAGTTGAACAGAAGAGCGGAAATAATACAATTTAGAAAAAAACAACCTATAAACAGTTAAAATCGTGAACTAACCAATGTTAGATCATCATTAAAAACTTGGGAGCACTAGATGGCCGTTTCGTCCTAGTATGAAACTACTCAGCAGTGCGCATCCACGATCCCACATGTGAGACTCGAACCCAGGACCCTTAGTCTCGCGCACGAACACTTAAACTCTAGAGCATTGAGTCAGTATGCAACTTAAAGGTAAAGTAGTTTAAACAATTGTCTAAACAAGACACTCAATGTCTGTTGGCCGGATACCATCAGCAACAGCCTACTGTGGGATAGAACAAACCAACTCCGAGCTGAAGAGGAAATTGGGAAAAAGCGGAGGTGGATAAGAAATACATTACAGAAATCACCAAACTGCATCATTAAGCACGCCCTAACTTGGAATCCTGAAGGAAACGGAAAAGAGAAAGGCCAAAGAACACACTGAGTTGAGAATTGGAAGCAAACATGAGTAGGATGAATAGCAACTGGAAACAACTGGAAAGGATTGGCCAGGAGAGAATTCGATGGAGAGTGCTAGTGAGAGGCCTATGCTCCTACACGAGGGTTAACAGGCGTAAGTAAGTAAGCTGTAGCCTAGTAGCCAATGTGATGACATGTGAACGCAGTTATACATATCTATAATTCACATGAAATTTGAACACAATATTGAGTGATTAAAATGAGATTAATGTTGGTAAAGAATTAGGCCGACAAATGCAATATTTTCAAATAAAATTCAGTGGTAATTTAGCTAGGTATCAACGCTTATTATCACTTACATACATGTGGTTTGGTTTATTAATAAAATAAACCTAACAAACAAATCCTACTTGAAAAAAAAACGTATAAAATAAGTTATTCCAATTGCCAATAACATTTTCTTACATAGAAAACTCATCTTCCTGACTAGTGGTCGTATCTTTGACTTTAAAATTATTTGTAGACTTATGCAAATAATTTATTCTCGTGAGCAACTATCACTCACTCAGCAGCAATGTATGTATCATTGTACAGTCCTGTTGGACAACATTATTTTATTTTATTTCAACAAACGAAAACTAACTTTACAAATCATTAAAATCTAAACTCATAATATCTATACTATACAACCAACTTTACAAATCTATACTTGTTTGGTTATATCCGCCAGTAGTACAGGGTTTCTGATTGCATTAGTGAATGATGCAGGCTTGAATATGAGAGTTTCATGTTAACTGTTATTCACTAAATAAATTCGAGTGAATAAATCTGATAACTAAGGATATATTGGGGATTTTTATAATACAAAGAAAATAAACAATCTGAGACATACCTATTCACTAGAATCAAATTTTTCTACAAATTCATCTGCTGAATCATCTTTTGAGCTTGGTATCTCCGTACCCGATGCTTCACTTGAAGATTCTTCATATTTAATTACATTACGCTTTTTTCTAGGTGGATTACAACGTTTGGGAGGGCATGATTTGGCGACTGACAACAATTTAGGTAATGAATGAGCTTTATCATCTGTACCTAAACGTATCCATCCTTTGTCAGTTTCAACATTTTTAACTGGGATATCTAGAGAGATTGAAGATTCAAGAATTTTCTCTTCCTCTTCTTTAAGATACAATGGAATAACTTTTTTGCTAGTCATTTCTTTATGTTTTACTGTTTTGTTTTTTTCGTATTTTTCAATAGTAGCTTGTTTATTATGCAATGGAGCTAAAGCGAATTGTGCTTTAACTCGATGCCATATAAAGAGTCCACGAACTAATCGTTTCCAGTTTTTTAGCGCACGTTCTATTCGTTCTTCATGCTCTAATTTTGCTGCATTCATTTGTTCCGTACGCCATGCATCAATAAGAACTGGTACAAACTCTTTACAGACAACATAACCCTTTATATTTGGATGAGCCCAACCACTACCATGAAATGTCCAACCAACAACAGCTTCTGCACAATCAATTCCAAGTTTTTTAGCAATATACTGAATACCTAATGTTAAAATTTACAAATGATACATTTTTTAACAACGAAAATAATTTTCAGTTAAGGTAAATAACATTTGAACAATCATCGAAGATAGAATTATATTAGACAAGTGTTATGAGTTAAATAGGATGTTCATGTAGTAACCATATACTTCGTAGAACTTATAACAAAAGTTTCCAATAGAAACCATGCATACAGCTTTAGCTCATATTATTATTGAACCTTCTTTGCAGCTGTTACGTCAGTCTGAGTGTAAGAGACTGGATGCATAAATAATCGATGTGAGGAATTCCGCTCCTAATTTGCCGGGAATGAACTCTCTAAACGAACGATCTTCAATGATCAATCTCAAAATTCGCATATCGATTTGATGTTTCTACTCATTGACTTTCAATGTATTTTAATTGTATTTTGTGCTGGTTATTTAGTTTAATAAATTATGATAGTTAATAATCACTTAATTTTAATAGGTATATAACTGAATAAACGTGGATGTAATTTCATCCTTCTGGAAGGTTTCTACTAGAAACAGTTTCGATACAAACTTGTACTCCTCACTTCAGTTATGAGGTAGAGAAGAAGAAGAGAAACATAAGAGTAGTCTCGTTCACTGTAATGGAGTTGGATTTGGAAATAATCAACTGAGTACACAAACGGGTCAGAGATGCTATTAAGCATGGTTAAGAATGGTGGTCAAATGTGATCTTTTGTCTTATATTCTTAACTAATTAAATCTTAGTTGTATTTCTAATGAAATTATATCCTATATTGAATGGTACTGCGTTATTAAAACCTCAGATACATGAACGTAGAATATTCTTCTCAATAAGTTCGCATTAGATTCTACAGTATTAAATCCAAACTACTGTTTCTAAGGGAGTACTAAGTTTAAAGTAAATACATTACTATCTTTTTTTTGCAAAAGTCATTCGACTTATGTTACATTCTAGTACACTTACTTCCTTACGCCTGTTACTCCTAATGGAGCGTAGGCCACCGACCAGCATTCTCCAACCCACTCTGTCCTGGGTCTTCCTTTCTAGTTCCATCCAATTCTTGTTCATTTTTCTCATGTCTATCTCCACTTCCCGGCGTAATGTGTTCTTTGGTCTTCCTCTACTCCTTTGACCTTGACGATTCCATGTGAGGGCTTGTCTTGTGACGCAGTTGGGTGCTTTCCTCAATGTATGTCCTATCCACTTCCAGCGCTTCTTCCTGAGTTCGTCCTCCACAGGGATCTGGTTTGTTCTCTACCACAGTAGGTTGTTGCTAATAGTGTCCGGCCAACGGATCCGAAGTATTTTGCGTAGACAACTGTTAATAAACACTTGTATATTCTGGATGATGGCTTTCGTAGTTCTCCAGGTTTCCGCCTCATGCAGAACTGTCTTGACATTTGTATTAGAAATTCTGACTCTGATGTTGGTTGATAGACAGTTGTTTTGAGTTCCAGATGTTCTTCAATTGTAGATATGCTGATCTTGCTTTGCCGATCGGCGCCTTCACATCTGCATCAAATCCACCTTGTTCATCAATGATACTGCCCAGATATGTAAATGTTTTTACATCTTCCAAATCTTCCCCTTCAAGTGTGATTCGAATGTTGCATGTTGTATTGAATCGAAGAATTTTGCTTTTCCCTTTATGTATATTGAATTCTAGTACACTACTATACATCATTTTCCTGCTGTTGACTACAAATCTGGATTAATTCTTGCTCATATTTCTTATAAATAATAACATGTACATATAGATTGAAATAAATCTTTTTTCGTTCTGATCTATATTTAGTTGTATATTTTAACGCTGTTGTTTTTTCTCGAATATTTTCTCTTGTTACAAAATAATTTTATTTCATGAGTATCAATGCCAAGGCTGGACTTGATAGTTTTAAATAAATTGAGCACTGAGTAAAATGTTAATAATTAATATATATTTTTGGTTTTAGTATTTATGTTAATTTAATGTCGGTTATTTATTTACTCTGAAGAAGTGGCCTACACTAAGTTACGAAACGTCAGAAATACAATTTTTCTACTCATTCAGACATAAAAAATATATCCATTATTAACGTTACTTAATACATTTTGCGGTACATTTCTTAATGTTCTATTGTATCGAACACTTTTTTATTATAGGAAATCATTCTTTAAAATAAAATCAGTCACAAAATAACGTAATTCGGATATGTTTTAAAAAAGGCCTACAAAATGTAGAGAAATTATTCTGTACTACTTTCGATGATTGAAAGATCAAATTGAAATGAAATCAAACATGATTTTTAAAAAAATAAAACCATATAGAACATACCAGAAAGACATAAGTGTGCACAGCCTATAGGAAGCATGCACGGTTTAAACAAATCAACATTTCCATGCGCATTACGTGGGACAATACCATTTTCAGCTTTCGGTGGTACATACGGTTCCACTTGCCATGGACCGAATACTTCAACAGTTGGAGGTGTAGAATCGGAACCTTGTAACAACTTACGCTTCATTGATAAACGAGCTTTAACAACTTTTGCGGGTTTTTCATGAAGACGAACGGTCTGAGAATGGAAATACAAAATAGGAGAATAAAGTAACCACATATGACACTGAGTATCTAAGAATAAATATTTATTGGTCCTTGAAATCTATATATATAACGTTTCGACAGTGAAATGTGCTTAAAAAAGTTGTGAAAAACCGAACTAAAACTCAAAATAGCTGAGATATCAATCAGCAGTTTTTTAGAATTAAAGAGGGTTTAAATCTAAAGTAACAGAACAGTAACTAAGTAGTGATATAAGACAGTCGCTATGGTACATGGTTTCCAGACAGTGAATTATAATCAAATCAGTTGTTCACTAACGATATAACTAAAAAACCGTTACTTATTAACACAATTCTTCGGTTAGTGTTAATATCATGTTCTTTCAAAGTTTGGGTTTGACAAACTTAGTCCTGCCCTAGTTTAGCATAACCTGTTAAGGCGAATGATGGGCTGACATACATTACTGATGACTAGACGCCTTTGTAGATGTAAGTATGGGTATTGATGACTAGCAAACGAAGTAAACGTAATTACAATCATGGGTTTGTGAAATTCAGATTGTACCAAGGTTAATATCCTTATCAAAGGAGGTTGATTATGAATACAGTCGTCTTGAGTGTTGTTGGAAGTATGAGGGCGGTTATCACTTTCCGGTTGCCCACACTGTGGAAGATTTATTCTGGAGGTACCTGAAAAGGAAATTGGGTTACAGGTGGTCTTAGTGACCTAAGAGCATGACCGTAGCACCCAAGGACAACTGCTTGAAGTTGGTCACACACGACCCTTTTGTGGGTAATTTTCGTGTTAGCTCTGTACTTGTTGAGACCTTGCTGCCGGAGACGGATATCCGTGGGATAAGGAGATGTGTGCATTTTTAGGGTCGACGTTTTATAACCCCACCCCTCCTTGTGAGAAGGCAGCATCGCTGTTATGTTGGTTGTCTGAAGGAAACATCTTACTGCCGTAACACCTCTGTACAGTCAGCAGCACGACTTCGCCCTGAGACCTTGGGTTTGCTGCTTTTAGTCTTATCGCTCTTCAACCGACCTGTCTGGCATAGTAGGACTTTGAAAAACGATTGTTTCAGCCAGTATAGATCGATTGGTTCAGCACGATTGGTAAGCCCGACCACCACGTCAAGGTGGCAACAACGATCTTAGAAATATTGCTCGCATCTGCTGGGATCACCGGGTAAGTAATAATAAGGTTAAACTCAGGGTATTAGGGAATGATGGTAAATCAGTTGATGAGGTTGTAAATCTTCATCGACTAAGATGGTTGGGCCACGTGTCGCGTATGCCTGAACACCGACTACCACGACGCGCAATGCTGACACTATTGGTGGGGGGTAGTAGGAAGAAAGATAGGGGCGGCCAAACCAAAACGTGGCATCAGTCCTTGGAGTCACTAGCATCTAATCTGAGCCATGTTGGTAGATGCAGACTACTTGGTTGGGGTCCATGTGACTCTGGGTGACATGGCTCAGAATCGATCACAATGGCGTCGGTGTATACACTCTTTGTCTTCCTTTAAACTATGAGATTAAAACCGCTTCATATCTTTCTTTCTACGAACTAATTCTTTCTTCCTGTGCCATGTCCTTATATGCAATCTTTCTTTTATATATTACCACCACTGAATTAACTACTTCTATGGATTTGGTGTTCATCTTGTTGTGCTAATGAGGTATGGTAACTTAGACCGATGTGTCTGGCCCTACGCTGTAGCAGACTGACTGACCGATATCCTTATGTAATCCGTTGGCTTTCGGGTGAGTTTTGTGGGATAATCACTGTGATATAACCAAGTGACTTTGGATCGTAAGGTGTCGAGATCACACCCAGACTAATTTAATTTAGATTTAACAGCAAAGAAATATTTCTAGGCTCGGCTAAAAGTTTAGTACACATGGCCAATGAGTTGGAATTCCACAGTTAACCATCAAGTATGTAAGAAGTAAAACAATTTAGGAGGCGATTTTCTGTCATATTTCAGAAACTTTTTCCATTAATATTCTTCTTTAATCATAGTTATCTGGAACGTAGAATCTAGAAAAAGTGCATCGACTCAAGTTGCAACACTACATCAGTACAGAGATTCTAGGGTATTATACATAGTGATAATAGGAAAGATGAGGGATAGAATATGGATTTGCGGAAGGAAAGACTTTCGAGGACATCTAGGAATGTATTTTTCTTGAAAACAATAGTGTTGTGAACATACCATAGCCTCTTTTAACCATGATTCTCTGGTATGACAAAGATGAAGACAATCACGAGAATAAACCGGTTCATTACGAAAATATCCCAAGGGGATTGAATCAGGTGGATGAATAACTTGAAATTTAAGTAAATGGCGTTGGAGAACATACAATGGATGATTCTTAAAGTCTTGCATACGTTTAGGTAGAGGTTCAGATAAAAGCTTTTCTTGAATAGAATCCTTATCTTTTTTATCTCGTTGAAAAGTTGGGACTGTACTTAACTTAGAAACTAAAGCATCATATTCAACGGCATCTTTATCAAAAAATCTACTTTGTATATCAAGAAAACTACTCCACTTCTCAGCAGGAATGCGATGAGTACGAGCAGAAACACACCAATCCTGAACATAACGAGGGGACAGGTCAACTGGGTTTCTACCAACATAAGATACTAACTCAGAACTCGCTGATCGTACAGAACAAGCACCGACAACATATAAAGATCCATGTTTGAAATTCACTTTATCCACAACACCTGTAGGCGATGATGGATCAATACATACCCAACGATTCAATTTCGGTAGAAATACTTCAGCAAATAGAGTAATGCTGGATTTTGAATTCTCATTATAATAATGATGATCAGAATTGGTATCAAATATGTCTTCTTCATCTGAAGAAATGATTTTTCGATTATGTTTTCCCTTATTGGAACTTTTAATTTCCTTAGTTTTAGACGTAAGCATCTTGGTCGCTGGTTCACTAGGTAATAAAGGTATTGGATGAAGACCAAGGATTATTCGTACATCGAATCCAAGAGAACGAAGAGCTGCAACGAGTAGTATGAGACAATCACCTTCAGTTGATTTTGACTCTGAAAGACGACGAACAAGCTGGTATTCATAATCACCGCATGAATTATTCTCAGTACATAATTGCATTCCTTGATAAGACAACAATGAAACAAGACACGCCTCTACATGTTCAATTGACCACAATGATAATCTGATAAACTGTTTTGTTTTTTGATTGTACACTGCATTTGTATTGGCCAAAAGTGAAATACCTAAAGCCCAACATAAGGAACTGTCACAAGTTCGATTTATCACACGACTATGAGCAAGAAAACATAACACATGAACTGAATGCATCAATGTGTAATGTTCTTTTAGTTTGCGTTTTAGTGCAAGTAACTCGAGAAGTTTTGGATCTTGTTTAGAATGTTTTTTAGTGAGACTATCAAGAGGGATAGCTACAGTTAGTGATGCAGGTTTTTTTTTCTCCATTTTCGCAAGGTACAGTATTTGAACTGAAATTCAAAAGGTTATGCATGAAATCTAATTCATTAGTTGGCTCATCATCCACTTCAACCCATTCTGTCTCGTCGTCTGAATCATTATTTACAATACTTTGAAAATTTTCAACTACATTAACGTTGTTCAATGGTTTACTTCGTTTTTTAGCCACATTCTTAGGTTTGAATTCTGAAAACAAACGCAAATTGCCTTTTCTCTTGCTTTTAGGTCTTTCGACACTTGAGCACTGGGATACGAAATCACTTGAATCGCTGTCATTACACTCATCTTGGAAGTGGCGATCTGTCGATAACTCTTTATCGTCTCCGAACAATTCGCCTTTTTTCTCCAAACCCAATGTTCCTTTAAGACTTGGTTTCTGTGTTTCTACTCTTGAACTAATTCGTTTACTACGTCTTTTTGTATGCTTGTTCAAAGCGGATACATGTTCATCTTTGCTACTGGAAGAACTTTCCTCGATTGTGGCCAACTGACTTGACTTTTTAGCTGGATTAACCGACTTCTTATTTTCAGGTGTTTGGACTTGATCAGTTGACCTAACTGGTCGAGTAGAACGTCTTGGTGTACAAGAAAGAGTGGCACTTTTCCGACCCATGTTTAATTACATGTCCGTATATCTACAAAAACGTAATATTTAAAACGAACTTTAGGGTTTAGAAAACAAGGATCAGTCAAAAATCTGCTCAGAGAATATCAAGCAGTTACAGGATGAGGCCGTGCATATAAATAAGGCTGTAGATGGCAACAACTCATTATGACTTTTACAATACTAGTGATTAACTTGGAACTCAATATTAGAGATATCATGGGGAATACATTTGGCAACAATCCAAAAATGACACAATTTACAGAGATATAATACAGTAGTATGTAGTGTTTGAGATATATTTTTTAGGAGCGCTTTGATTTTTGCAACATAGTTATGACAGTTTAGACTTTTTTATCTCACGCGGTTTTTACGTAAATACGGAAAACAATGCCCAAGATGAAGAACGACTGTAAACAGATAAGTCAACGAAAGAACACACATAAATTGAAACTAACATAATTTGCAAATCTTCAGGCAGAATTTTTTTGGAAAAGGTACTGTGGATAAACAAGGGTTCACAGTAAAAGCAAATATCTAAACGGACAGAGATGAAAAGAATAAATCATCCGCACCACCACGTTGGATTTTTAACTACTAGTTTCCTATCACAAAACGCTATTCCAAAATGTTCAGATTTCTCCATACAACGTAGAGCAATAGTTATAAATATAATAAACAGTCAGCTTAATTAGTTTGTTTTAAATGTTCTGTCACTAATTGGTTCCATTTGTGTTATATTTCACAAATATACAACTTTGTATAATTCGTATTTTTGACTAACTGACTTTCAAAGGTTGTTTCATTTAGGTCGTACCTGACCATTGTGAATTTCAACTAAAATTTAAGCTCCGAAACTACTTAATAGACTATTTTAAACAACGGAAGGATGGAAGGTTATATTTGCTCAAGATTTTTCGGTGATTCGGTAGACAGTGTTTATGGACAAACGAATCGGGTTAACAAGCAATCACGAACTGACATCAGGTATAATGTCAATGTATTAACTACCCATATGGATTGATGAACTTCGCGCCAGAATCCAAGACTTGCTACCTTAAGTCCCATTGATTTGTACACAAATTAGACTCGCTGTTACATTTACTGTGTAATTTTGGATTAAGATGGATGAAAATCCCTAAGGATTATCTTAGCTATTGAGTTACAACCCATAAATACTAAAAGTACTTTAGGATCCCCGGATTAGTTAATAACAAAAAACTAATAGGACAAATCAGATTGAAAATTCAACTGTAGCATCTGCAACTACGTCAGCGTTTACAATTTTTTATTTCCAGAAATAATAGTGATCAAATTAAGGAAGTCCACTAGTTCGGACTGTGTTCGAAATTCATCGAAAACGTTTACCCATAATTTATGCACTTCACTCAGACTATTCAGTCCTCGAATCCGGTGACTTATTGATAGTATTATCAACTACCAACTTCGCTAAAAAGTTATACGATACAAACATAAATACTTAATCAAAATCATCCGTTCTACTCTTCGCTGATGACATAAAAATTTGGAGACCCATACATAGTATGTCGGATAGAATAGTAGTATCGGATGATTTCAGCTCATTGGTGGCATGGTTAGACAGGTCGTCACCAGAAGTAAATCCTAATAAGAGTGTAGTGATGCAGTTAAATAACTCTGATGAATCGTATGACTATACACTACGTGGATTCGTGCTACCCAAAGTAAGAAACTATAAAGATTTAGGAGTCATATTAAGCAATGATCTCAAAACCACTAGTCGCTGTAAGGCTGCTGCTGCAAAAGGCTATAGGGTATTATGGTCAATTCATAGGTCATTCCAGTATTTAGATGATTAAATGTTGAGATTACTATACCCGATTTATGTGCGACCACATTTAGAATACGGGATTCAAGCAGCGTGTCCTTGTTTCAAGTATGAGGCAGATATGCCAGAAAGAGTCCAACGACGAGCTACTAAGATGGTACAAGGTCTATCTGGCCTATCTTATGAAGACAGACTGAGACACCTTAACTTATTTCCGTTATCTTACCGTAGAATACGGGGTGATCTAATATTGGCCTATCGTATACTGAACGATGACCTTGGTATTAACATGTCTTACCTTTTGCTTCCGTCTAGAGCCGATCATTTGAGAGAACATTCGAAGAAAGTTCAAAAACCGAGATCAAACCGTTTACGTCTGGAGTTTCGTTTCTCGCACCGAGTAGTGAATTACTGGAATTCTCTACCAGAACACGTAATATCAGCACCTTTCGTTGATATATTCAAAACGAGGTTGGACCTCTACAGTATTACAAACTACAAGGATTAATATAGGTCGATAGACCTCCTATCCTTATTACTGAAGACTGAATCATGATCAAACTGGTCTGTGATCCATACTTAAGAACCTGTTAGACGAGACCCGTCAATATATAGAAAACAACGAATCTTAACACGCAGATGAGAGCTAACTAGAAATGATGCACTCCCATCTTTCGCAAGTCATTTCATCCTATATCTGTTCCCGCGAAATCAAAATAAAACTAGGAAATAGTTCGGGAAATAATCCACGCGAAAATGACATAGTGGGGAGGAATAAGTCTCTATTAAATGAGTTTGCAGTCTATCAAACATCAGGCAGTTCTCAAAGAATCAAGTAAACAAGAAACATGCCTTACGTATCTGTACAGAAAGGGAAGTAACGCAAACGCCTAAATTAGCGGGGTTTCGTGTTGGTCTGCAAGTCTTCAGTCTTCAGTTATAAGGATAGTAGGTTGATAAACCTGTATTAATCCTGACACACTGCTTTCCAGTGAAGGTCCAGCTTCTCCTTGAAAGTATTCACTGATGGGGCTGATACTACTTGTTCGGGTAAGGCGTTCCAATGATTAACTACTCGATGAGAATGTAGCGGTAAATAAATCCCCAAAATAAATAGCTCTGTAAGTTTTCGACATTGGATGCTGACCATATGTTTTAGTGGACTCATCTAGCTGAAGGCGCTCGGTCAGGCATCCGCACCAGATCACGTGTGGTAACGCCGTGCTCAACATCAACCGCAATCGCTAGCCAGATTAGATCAGAGAATTCAGATATATTGGTAATCGCCAAATACACTATTTTGATCTCCTCGACTCTATCTTTTGATTTCTCTCGGTGGGTACAAATCATATTAGAAGGTGTTACTGGTAGAAGCGTTGTCAAACACTGAATACCTGTGGCATCATCAAGAAAAACGGGACCCCACTTTAAGTTTATTAGACCTTGGTTTATGAACCTTCTTGCTATGACCGCGGAGATTATTAGTGCTGGAAGGAGCAAAACGATAAAACATATTAACACCCAAATCATAATTGAAGATACGAAATGCCAGTATAAGGTCACCTCGTGTCCTACGATACGACAAGGGGAAAAGATTTAGGTGTTTTAAATGCTCATCGTAAGGAAGTCTAGAAAGGCCCCTCACTAATTTCGTTCCCACACCCTGGACATGCTCAAGGGAGTTAGTATCCTTTGCCAGACACGGGCTAGCTGCTTGGATACAGTACTCTAAGTGTGGTCTTACATAGGTGGGATATAAAATTCGAAACGTTTCCTCGTCAAAAGACTTGAACGCTCGGCGAAGTGACCATAACGCACGAAAACCTTTGACAGCGGCTGCTTTGCAATGCGTAGTTGTTTTTAAATCATGACTTAATACTACTCCTAAGTCTTTATGCTCTTGAACACATGGAAGAGGTTTACCCTCAATAGTATAACGGTAACTATTACCGTGACCGACGTGCATTAGCACACTTCCTAGCATTGATTTCTAAGCCCCACTCTCGAGCCCATCTAACTAAATCGTCTAAGTTAGCTTGAAGATCCAGATGATCAGCCTCACTTTTTATTGTTCTCCAGATTTTTACATCATCCGCAAACAATAATATCGACGACCTAAGTAACAGCGGTAACTCATTAACGTAGAGAAGGAAGAGCAGAGGGCCCAAGATGGTGCCCTCACTCTCTGTCTGCGGTCACATAAGAAATTTCCTATCCACTCATGTACAGTACCTATTATTCCGAAGCTCGTGAGCTTCTGCATAAGACCTACGTGTGAAACCTTGTCAAATGCTTTGCTAAAATCTATGAATATCACGTCGACAGACAGACCGTTATCTAGGGCTGCTGTCCAATCCTCCCTCGCAATAAGCAAGTTAGTCAAGCATGAACGCTTGTTACGAAATCCGTGTTGCTCAGGAGCTAACAGATTGTGTAAATCTATGTGGCTTAGCAACCTAACCCGAATTATCTTTTCAAGTAACTTAACGACTATGCTAGTTAGACTGACAGGCCGGTAGTTAGATACTATCTGTCTCTGACCGTCCTTAAATATAGGACTGACTATAGCGTCCTTCCAATCTCTAGGGAGTTGAGCGAGTGAAAGGGACATGTTGAAGAGTGTCGCAAGCGGTTTTGAAATAATGTCCGCAAGAGATGACAGCAACCGTGGATGTAACCCGTCAGGGCCCGGTATCTTACCAGGTTTGAGGTTAGTTATCAACGGAAGGACAGTTTCCTCAGTCACCTGTACAGATTCAATGGTTGGTATCTCGGTGTGAGTGGGACAAGTATTTGTTACAAAAAACGTAGAGAAGACTTCGCTAAAATAGTTTGAAAAAGTCTCAGCTTTTGCTCGATCTGATTCAGCTAGTAATTCTGAATTTTCGTGTAACAGTAACGGGGGAATACCATCACTACGTTTCGTCCGCCGTTTAACATACGAAAACAATCGTTTCGGACAAGTACGGCTATCATATACTAACTGTCGTTCGTAAGTGGTACGGGATTTGGCTATGGTTTTCTTACAGATATTACGGAATTTTTGGTACTCACGCTTAAATGGTGCATGACCTGTCAACAAGAATAAGTCCCAGAAATGTTTCCTACGCTTTAACAGCTTCCGGGTTTCCTTATTAATCCATGGAGGGCAATGTGATAGCTTACGTGCTGACCATGGGATAAACGGCGACGTTACGGACTCGAATGTAGCCTTAAACTTATTCCATTCATCTTCGATCAATCCATCCGCGTCGACCGACCAATCAGTCGAGATAGCACAGTTTCTGATTTCCGGAATATTGGCTCGCCAGATATTGGGACGGGGTGGAGCAGATACGAATTGTATACCATGTGTCCTAAACTTAAAGTGAATTACAACGTGATCACTGTTCACTAGTGGGGAAGGTGCTGAATATCAAAGACATCCTCAAGTGGTGGGTGAGGGCGAGGTCCAGCAGTGACGGATCATGATTGAAATCAATATGTGTCGGTTTTGTGATACATTGTACAAGTGCACACTGAATAACGGTAGATAAAAGGTCGCTATCGAAACCACTACCTGGAGCTGTAAGCTCTATCCAGTTGATATGCGGTGCGTTGAAGTCCCCAATGATGAGACAACATTCTGCCATACTCCAAGAACAGATGTGTCTTAGGATAAAGTCGTCAGCAGACAAAAAGGACTACGGTATATTCCCCCTATAGTCACTAACCCATTTCTAGATTTAATCTTACAACATGCAACCTCACATGTGCCACTGATATGAGCCTCCGATATGGTTGATTGTATACGAAAGTGATCCCTAACGTATAATATTATACCTCCCCCTTTGCGACTTGAAACTCTATCACTTCTAATACAGATATAACCTGCAATGAAAGGAGAACAGTCTATATCTACGGTGAACCAAGTTTCTGTAACAACGATTATATCGGGACATAATTCTTGCACCATCAGACTTAGCTCGGACGTTTTATTTCTAAGACTACGAGCGTTCGTGTAGCACACACTTAAGGTGTTTTGGAAATCAATCGTTCTACCCATACAGGCCTCGGAAGCATTGGCTTCCAAGACCTGACTACCCGAAAACCCTTAATGGTAAGGTTATTTTCGCCATTTAATTTGCGAGTCCTCAACTCCGTAAGAGCATTCTTCCACTTGATTCGATCCTCAAGCGGCCAATCTGGTCGAATACGGATATTTGAGTCACGAGTTTTTGTGCGTTTTTCAATAATATGTCTCTTTCTTCGAAACTCCCGAGAACCAGCTTGGTTGGGTCTCGCCTCCAACCCATTTACCAAGTCGTATTACTTTTGTAATATGTACCCCTGAAACCTCTTCAGGTAGTACATTTCTTACCACAGACTCCACTAACTGCAGGTCATGTGCATGTCTTCTAGCAGGGTCGTTATCTTTCGACTCCTCTAGATTCCAAATAATTAAACTAGGGGGTTTAGCTTCCTTTGAAATTGTGTTAACAGCTTTCGACCGTGACGATAGATCCTGTATATTAACTACTGGTATCTTACGATTAGCTTTTATTGTAACAGAGTCCTGTGAGTGACTCACAACAGTGTTAGACGAAGCTTTACTTTGGAGCTTTGGCGGATTGGTCTGAGAGTCCACCAAGGACTTATCAAGTAAACAGTCATTAGTTTTAGCTGTTATTTGATTTTTCTTCTCAGTCACGCCAGGATGGGTTTCACTCTTACCATCAGATTTTGGTAGTGCAGTATGTGACTCACAATGAGAGTCCATCAGTGAGTTACTAACTACCTGTGTACTGCCTACAGCTTTTTTCCTTTCGTTTCGTTTCCTACGTACCGTAGTCCATTTTTCATCCCTCAGGACATTGGGACTATTTGGAACGGTGATGATTTTATCCAGTTCGTCGGTTCCCACTAAAGGTGCATTGTTATCATTGTCAGTACCAGGTGGTATTACTCCCCTTGTTAATGTTAACGGCGATCTCACTTTTGCGTCGGTCAGAGTAGGTTATTTGAGGCGTCGCGTAACAGCAGGTACTACACTGACACATTCTTCACCATCAGCACTCTTGTTATCAGTGCTTCCGCCATCGTTTTTCTAGCAGGTCAAAGCCAATAAGCCCATAGCCTCCTGAATTAGTACCTTTTTATCCGTACAGCAGAACATACAAAGCCAATGCGAGTTAGGCTTCGAGCATCTTTTGTATGCCATCGGACTTAGGCGTGTACACATTTTGTGGTACCACTTTTTACAGTCATCACACTGCATTCCCTCCTCAACGGGGAGCAAACAGTTTGGTTGCCCACATTTATGAGTCTTACCAACCATTGTAATTAGATTTAAAAGGTTTAAAAACACACAATGTTTACCATGTGAACACAAGTGTTGGTCTGGGAGTAAAAAAGATACTCAGGACAAAATTTTGAAAAAAATTTCAAACTTTAACCAAAGTACTTTTAGTTAAAGTAGACCAACAATGCTTTTTGGTGCAATAAGTACCTAAAGCAAGTACAATCACAACAAGTACAAAAATCACTACGCTTTTTGTGTATGTCTGACTTGTGAATCAAGCATTTTACTCCGCAGTAATAAGGAAAGGTCTATCGACCTATATTAATCCTTGCAGTTTGTAATACTGTAGAGGTCCAACCTCGTTTTGAATATATCAACGAAGGGTGCTGATATTACGTGTTCTGGTAGAGAATTCCAGTAATTCACTACTCGGTGCGAGAAACGAAACTCCAGACGTAAACCGTTTGATCTCGGTTTTTGAACTTTCTTCGAATGTTCTCTCAAATGATCGGTTCTAGACGGAAGCAAAAGGTAAGACATGTTAATACCAAGGTCATCGTTCAGTATACGATAGGCCAATATTAGATCACCCCGTATTCTACGGTAAGATAACGGAAATAAGTTAAGGTG